TCTTCCCTGTGGTATCTAGGTGCTTTACCAAGGGTAAGTGGAAAAGTCTTTCCAGTGTGCTTTTTTAAATTCCTTCAAGGATTTTGAGATTTCATGTAGGTCCAGAGAGCTATCATTTGGTACAAGATATACATGCAGATTGAAGATAATTAGGAAAATAGGCATCAATTCCATGTAATGAATTTTTCCAAGCAGAGCCAACATGGGCTTCCAAGGAAACTGTACCTCTGCCTCATTTATGTTCAGAAGCCAATGTGTGGGTATCCAGGTTGGGATGCTCTGGTCCTGTGTCTTCAAGGAACTGAAGATATTTTTATACTGTTTTTGTTGTGTATAGTTTGTTGTTACTGGATGTGGATGGTAAAGCTGAATACGGCACCAGACTATCCTCAGAACTCTGTGCCCTGATTAAAACAGACTCTTTTTTTCTTCAATTCAAATTACTGCTACCTAGAATGTATTTTTTAATCTGATCTGCTGTGAAACAAATGGAAATAAAATTGCTCATTCTGTTCATAATCTAAACACAAGTAAAATTCATGTAGATTCTCAATTAAGGATTGAGAATGTTCTAATGAAACATTCTCATGTTGTTCTAATGAATGTTCTAGTGAAATTTCTTTTCTATAGTCATTTTCTCCACAGTCTGAATAGGTAAAAAAAAAAAGTGTCATGTGTTTCTGATTGAGAGGCGTTGCTGAATTTTTCTAAACTTTTAGGGTTATTTAAATCGAAGAGTTTTACTATTTTCCCTTGAAAAAGATTTATTTAGGAAAGCCTGCTCAGTAGCTGGATTTTGTGGGTAGCTTCCTACAAAAATGATTGTCTGGGAAGATAAAAGACTGAGAACCTGTCAGTGATTAATCAAGCAACTGGCTTTTCTACACTGATTTTATCTCTAGGAAATATCCAGAAATATGAGAATCTTAAAAAACATCCTGAAAAAATAGAAAAAAAATTTGAAAAAGAAATGAAAAGAAGTTACCGCTTCTCCATAGTATGTCACTTCCTTCTCCATCACAACATTCATAAAATATAGCTTCGTTCTTCATTCCCTAGCTTTTTCTACAAATTCTCTGAAAAAACATACAACATCTAAGTTTCTTCCTATACTGGCATTACATAAAACGACCTTATCTTTCAGGTTACATTAAGGCAGGCCCAACTTTTTATATGTTGGYCTGGCATCCTGAAATATCTTGGCCTTTCACTTCATCATTCAAATAGTCTGTTTTAAAAAGTCTAAGAGTGATAGTGCAATGAATAAAACTGATTCTTTGATTGCCAGGCTARAGAAAGCAAAGTTCGGTATGATAAGAACTCTGAAGAGAAAAGTAAAACTGTTACGTATGCTCTCAAATCAGATGCTGCATTCAACACAGATGTGAATGCTTGCTGAGTTTCTCACATTAAGCTCACTTAGATACTAAGTTTTGACTAAGCTTAGATACTAAGGCTTTGGAGGAAGAAGGAAGAAAATATTCCGCCCCAAGAAAAAGTATTTGTGTCTTTCAAGAGAGCTTCTTGCAACACTGATTCCACCATCCTTTTCCTTGAATTAGGCTTTTAGGACTATTTCCTAAGCCTAAAAGTCTTTACTTTGATAGCATTTCAAAAGTAGTGCCTCTTTCATCCTCTTTGTTCTACAGGATCTTTTTAATTGTGGGAATTCTGCTTCCTTCAGTGCATTGGCTCCTGCGTTAGAGCCCAGCCAGATTCATATGCTTTTCCTGTAAAAGTTTAGCTGTAGGAAGCCAGAAGAATTTACTGAAACTACTCAGTTAGAAGATTCTTCCTTAAAAATTTTGCTCCTCCAAATAACTGCATCATTAACAGAGGCATGTTTGAGAGGGTAGACCTGTCACTTTAAACTAAGATCGCTATTACCTGCTGCTGTGGTTGGTGTTTTGACCGGGAGCAGAAATTTGGGCAGTAGAACTGACAGCTCCAAAGGTCTCAGCCTTCCAAATAAAATAATTATTTAAATACAGGAACAAAAGAGGGAGGAGCCTTTGCAGGATCTTTCACAATATAGTTCTAATATTTCTAATAAGTGTTCTCTGATGTCCAACGTATGCTAAGAAATGGCGTTAATCTCTCAGGTCGAAGCCACTATTTTTAAAATAACAGCAAGATATAATGTATCAGAAGTCATGTCGTGGTCCAGATATAATCAAAATGTGTTTTTCCATTCCCAGTTTGCATCTTGATATAAAAGGGCTTAATTTAGCAGAATGTAATTTGTAGTCAACAGCTCACAACAGCTTCCCACAGCATTCAGAGAACGATGTGATGTGTCTTCTCTCTTTTAGTCAGACTTATGGGCAGACAGGCAGGTGTTTTTATGCTTTTGGTAGTCTCTTCCTCTGTATGTTGGGCCATTCAGAATGATTTCTCCTGTAACATGGTACTACACAGGTTGCCTATGCATATCATAGGCTCGACCATAATTTTTAATAAGTAGCTTATCTCTGTGATACAACTAAAAGCAATCCTGAGTGTCTCCAGGGTTTGTTTTAATTAGATTTTATTGTTGTGTTTGAAAATGTAGAGTTTCTGAAAACTGAAGCAAGAAGAACAACAAAGATTCTAGGAGATGCTAGTCTGATTTTCAGAAGGGTTTAACCCTTAGTAGTTTGCGGAGTCACAAGCTTACTTATTTTCCCCAAATGGGTGTTCCTACATGCAACTGAGGCCATAAGCTATGGCAGCTAGTTTATTTTGGTAGCTGATGTCAGGTAGCTGTGCAAACATTATTCTTTATACATACAATTAGATGCTACATAATCGATTCGGTAATTTGTGTGTGCCTAATAACACCTCCAATATGGTCGAAGATCTTTTCTAAAAACCATATACTTTCACTTCAGCCTCTGTCTTCTCTCTGYTTTTACAGCTATAAAGTGATGACAGAAGTCCCAGTGCTGCCCATGAAGGTGGTGCAGTGAGGGGCAGAGTTTACCAGCTTCTCATCCAAACAGTAAAGAAATTACTTGTGTTCCACTGTTTCCAACAGAGGAATGATGAATTTATCCAAATTTATTTAACATTGTACTGCTGTGCTCAGACAAAACTCCTGAATTCACTGAGCAGCAGATGCACCTACATTTGGTGCTGACACTTGGTTGTGCAGTTGGGAGAATTGTGCAATGTTGTACAGACAGGGACAGATCTTCACCTTATTCATCATGCATATCTCTACACTTAGATAAAGTAATAGTCAGTAAAGACTGACCCAGCAATCATGGCAGTTTTCCCTTTCATGTTCTATACCTGCTTGGTTTTCTTGCCATGAGRTGTAACAGATTGGTTTTGGAAATTCCTGTAACAATTTTTTCCCAGTCAAAATATTTCCTCCAACAATGTCATCTTTCCTGCTCAGCGTTGCTACTAATCTTTATTTAGTTATTTACTTTACAATTTCTAGAGGGATTGGATATGCCCAAGGCACCCCTTTAGGCAACACTTTATATCAAGGTTCCATTTATAAATACTTCATGAAGGGCTAATAAATGATTAATAGATGTTTTAATGTATGACCAATCAATTGTTGTGGATTTCGTAATGTGCAACAGACAAGTAGGTTTCTTATAAGCATAGATTATAACCATATCTGACATCTTCTACTGATGGGCTTCTAAACATCTATAACATACACACTACTCATATCTGTAACATGCTTAAAACATCTACTAATCACTGATTAATATTTTATAACCTATTTTGAAGTGGAACCTGTCTGTGGAGCATATCCCTTACCGGTGTCTGTGACTCTCCGTTTCCACAGGATTGAAAAATCCACTTATCATATCCGGATTTAAATTTCTTTTAATTTCAGCTGCAATATTTTTGGAATTATCTTAAGCATTTTTACATGAATGTAGGAAAAAGTATTTTTTGCTGCTGCAAAACCTCTTTTTTCTGCCCAACTTTTGCCAACACCACTATGCATTTTGTAAGCGCTGCTATGTGCAGTGGTTCTTAGGGGGCCAACCCATAATAAACTCTGTTGTCACTCGGCTGAACTCAGTTTCTGTGGCTGTTACCAAGGCAGCTGTGTTGATGACACTTCCTGGCTTTTTTCCCTATTGTCATTTCTGTGCACATGGTTCAAAGTTTCTTCACTCAGAGAAAAGAATGAGGACATTTGAGCTTCCAAATAATCCTGTGAACATCTCCCAAGACATTTTACATGTTTTTAAACTCAAGTGCTGATACGAATGCTCCTCTGTGGGATTCAGATAGGCTCCTAAGGTGAAAGCCACATGTGGGCTCAGTGCTGAATATGGAGTACATAGCTAAAAACACTCTAAAACACATGTTCAGACTCCCTTCCTGAAAATTCTATATGAGTCAAGAAATTATTCCTTTAGAGATAAGAAACAGCAAGTTTTGTAGGACCTTTTTCTCGTGTTTTACAGATGGAAAGTTTGAATCTTCAGTTGATTTCCACTGAAGTTAGTCATGGGTTGAGTTCCCAGCTGTGGTTCATCTAGGTGTTGAGACCAGTTCTTTGACAACACAAATTGGAAGGAGCTGCAGGTTTTTCTCATTTCTGAGGTCATTAGCTAAATAGTCTCTGTTCTGAAGGGCATCCCTAGTCCCGCTCAAATCACATGCGACTCTTTCACTGAATTCTGTTAGGAGCAGGATTAAGCTGCTACAGCCGTGGCTTTAGGCAGTTACACCTAAAGAAACATGACAGGCACAACTCCCCTCGCCCCCTAAATCAAAGAACACAAGGGGGAAAAAGTGAGTTTTGTTCTTCAGCATTTTTGTGGATTTTCCTCTAGGTTTTTTTTTTTTTTTTAATCTATTCATTGTCAAAGAGACCGATGCCTCAGAAATAAGAGCCTCTCAAAATTACTTGAGCTCTTGGAGCTAGAGTTTTCCTCCTTGTTAGCACAGATGCCTTTATCTCTCATGGCTAGCACTGCACGTGCCTGCATTTATCAGTGGCTTTCCCATGATCTTTTCTTTCTTTTCCATTTTTTCCTCAGCTCGTTAATAATCCCCTAGCAAGCCAAGCAGCAGCGGCCGCAGCAGCAGCAGCCATGGGCTCCATAGCCAGCTCGCAGGCCTTTGGCAACGCGCTCTCCAGCCTTCAGGGGGTCACAGGTCAGCTCGTCACTAATGCACAAGGACAGGTGAGTCCAAGATGGGCAAAATGCTGAATTTTGATGGCAGGCTGATCTTGGGACAAAAATGAGTTCCGCTTGTCTGACAGCGATTTGGAAGTGCACGTATGGGAGATAAATAAATATTGATTCAGCAGACAAGGTAAGAAATGGGAAGTCTGAGAAGTGGGAAGAAGTTAGGAGGGTGCTACAAAGTGCTGTCAAGCAAGAAAGGGTCTGGGTTTGTTGTTTGTTTTTAATCCAACCTTTTGAAGACATCACAATAATGAGATAATATGATGATTTTAAATATGTACAGACACTCTTGCACTTCTTCCATGGGTAATGGTCTAATGTCAAAGAACTATATTAATGTGCTGTTGTACTGTTGAGGCTATACTTTCCCTGTTTTCCTTTTTTTTTTTTTCTGTAAACTATAGCATTTCTTTATTACCTCACTGTGAGGCATTTGTAAAAAGGTATAATAATTGTTAAGGGAGCAAAGAAGTTGCAATGAAGTATCTGTTCTTGATGGATTTAATTGTGCAGCCTACTCGTTTGCTGATTAACAGCATTCAGTAATTTGTAATGAATCTGACAGGCTGTAATGCAAACTTGGGAGAAACTTTTGCCTTTTAAAACAAAAATTCCAGATGGAAATTTGAAGAGGGTTCATGGTAAGTATAAAACAGAAATTGTGCATTATCTACATTTGGGAATCTGTTTATTACAAATAAGCTATTTGGTTTTAAATAAGATGTAGAAGGATGTGCATCTGGATTTATATATGTTAAATAATTCCATTAATGCAAGGTACTTAAGTACCTTTCAGAACTGTGGCCAATTTCATTCTTTRTTCCAATAGGATGGGAATAAAATTAATATGATTGCTTGTTTCATATTAAGTCACTGTAACAAATCTGTTACTATAACTTAAGACTGAAACTGGTCATTAAGTATTTTATAAGGCATTATTAAAAATCCTACAGATTTAGGTGTACAGTAAAGCTGCAGCACTTACATGAGTATTAGGTCCTGTCAAGCATTTGTCAAAATTATGTAGCTTGGGTTGTATGTGAATCTCAAGTTTAGTCTCTACTCTTAATATGCATTGTAATTAAAAAAAAAAGTTCATTTTTTTTTTTCTCTCTTGATAAAATTCTATTGCTAGGTTATTTTATTGGAACCAGGTCTGTTTTTTCAATTTTGGCCCATTAATAAGATAAAAGGCATCACTTTAGATGCCTTTTTATGTATTTATTTATTTTTAACATAACACATAAACAAAGATGCATCCTGAGTTTCACTATCCCCATCCAAGTCCCAGGGAAAAAAAATGCTGACCTTGTTATATTTACTGGATGGGTGCAGAATTGTTCCATCACTACCCCGAGGGTTGAACGATGGAGCTTGTCAAAGTGAGGCCTTATCTAATGAATCATCTTATCGCAGGTGCACACCACACATATTAAAGGAGGATTGTATGAACAATGTGCCCTCTACAATAACCTTTCAATGTCTACTTTAACCCTTGTTTCAATCCCTTTTCATCAAAGGATCATTTTATGCAGCCAGCTTTAAATGGAGGCTCTCAAAAGCCTATTAAGATTTCTGGAGGGATGGGGTATTGGTTTGGAAGAAAAGTTGGTTATAATACCTATAACTCATAGTCAGATCAGCTCCACCTAGAAGCCTGCTTGTTTATGTCTGTGCTCCAGGAATGGTTCACAATTGCCTTCACTTGGCACCAAAGATGTTCATTGTAAGAGCTGAAGAAATAAAGCTAGGCCAGTTTTTCAAGGAGTTTTCCCTTTACACGTTCTCCACAGGAAAACATAAGCCAAGTGTGGACATACATTGAATGTTGAAACATCTGCTACTGTGAATATCTCGCTGAATGGAACTATAGATTGAGCCAGGCTGTTTATTCTTCACATAATATAAAATCCAATAATTCCACAGGTCACAGTGAAAGGGAGGAGAAAGGAAGAATATCCCCTATTGTTGGATAAAATTACAAAATCCATCTGTCTGCTTAGCTCTTTTGAATATGGGCTGTCTCTTTTATTAATCGTTTTTACAAACATTCCTTGGTACATAAGGAGTACTGCAGATCTCACCACACTATAGATAAATATTGATAAGAAGAGTGTAATGTAACACCTCCCCTTATAATATTCAGCATGTATTGTTTCGAGCACCTATCTGCCTACAAAACAGGATTATGCGTTCAAATTAAACTACATTCCCCAAAGCAAACTACATTTGTTGTAAATTAATGAAATTGTTGTGACRAAACAAGAAGTCAAGGATGTGTCCTCAAAACTGAGACTGTAAGTAAACAGTAATTCTGGATGCCTTCATTTCTCAGTGAGCAACATGGGCTTGTTAAGGAGCTGAATTTCCCTAATATGTTAAAAATTTTGCCTTTGAAAATTGCCCCCTTCAAAGAATCGCAAGTTTGACACTCAAAACTCCCTCCTGCAAATGTAAGGCTGGTTGATTTACCAGATTGTTTGTATGTGCAATCTTGGTAATTACAGGCTGCGGCTTGGGAAGAAGTCAGGGCTTGTAAATGTCCATCTGCCTGGCTAAATATATGGTGACCAGTAATCCCTAGAGACATGAAGCTGTAGGTCAAATCCAAGATCCTACAGCAATTTTAGGGAAATGATCTTTTAAATGACATGGCGTGAATGGCGTAGCCTCAGGAATTCTGGTAGTCACAATAATAAACTTGTTTGTATTAACAAATATGCTATATAAATGGCTGTTATTATTGTATTCACAAGGATGGTGTGATTTTTATTTTCCTTTGAATGGCAATAAGAACCATAATAGCAAAGCTCCCCAAGACCACCCTAGCAAAGAGATCTAATCCGTTGGAATAATATGTCTAGATCACCTGATTAATTTGATATAGTGCAGGTAGAGGACTCTAAATCAATTTTTCATTTTCCCAGGCATATTATGAAGAGCTATTGGCCCATGTAACACTGCTTACATTCTGTTTGCCCTCAGCACTTTCCAGGAAGCATTTGCAGGACTGAACTTTTATATCTTAAATTTAAAGGCACAGGTAAGAGAATTGCTAGATTCTACCTAAGGAGATGCCCACTAATTTCAAAGTGAAGTTGCCCACCTGCTCAGTCTCAGTCTGCCTTTGTATATGGCAAGTGTCATTTATGCACTGGGATCAGTCAGAGAGGTAATAATCAGAAATTTCTATCAGCTCTGTAATTATAAAAGAAAATACAAAGAGACTTAAGTATCTTTATGCATAGCAAGTATATAATAGGTGCTTTTTTAGCTGTTCTTAATCACTGTAAGGAAATGAATTACTAAGAATATGGAAACATGAATGATGCTTCTGTTTCTGTAAATACTACCTGCAAGCCAATTTTCTAGTTCACTAAAACGTAGAGCTAAATTGTCACCACTTACATTCATTTAAGTCTTCCGATTCAGCAGGATCAAATACATTTTTATTATAGAAGCTGAGCCCTTCAGCAAGTTCCATTTCTCTAATGGAAAAGTGTGAGTTTCTTAAGAAAGAAGCAAATATATCCCAGTTCAGTAGCCAACTGATCAACTATTCTCATCATGAAGAGTAAGAAAGTGCCATGGTAGGAGTTGGCATTATCAACTGTCTGGTGGTTAAAAGACAAAAATAAAAAGTTATTTTTGTGTAGTCTAATATGAAAACAGTGTCTACAGTGGTCCTATACAGTACCTATTTTAACTAATAGTGGACTTGACAGGRATAGCAGCAGTATAATCTAGGAGTGCTTTCCAAGGAACACAGGCATGCGCTGTGCTCGTGCCTTGCTCTTTAGATGTGAAAACCTTCTGTGCGTGGCCTGCCATGGACACGCCTCCGCCCTAGCAATTAACAAGAATAACTAATTTGGGGGAGTTGTGATCCAGAAATAGCTGGGAAAACTAAATGGAGAGAGTGGCACKGTTGATCCAATTAGATAATGGGAGTATTTTGGTTCTCATTATTCTGATGAGAGGGTAGACATTTGCTCCTTGGGCTCCCTGATGGTAAATGGTGCTAATGAGGCCTGATGGATCCTCTGCTCCTAACAAGCCTCTCAGCAGTGAGAGTGATTACAATGGAGATAGATTTGATGGGATGCGCTCCCTTTTGTAGTGTCTCAGCTGCTGACACTCTGCGACATAATCAGGTCACAGAGCCGGTCACAGCCATCAGCAAAAGCCATAGCTCTATCCCTCATTATTAAAGTGCATTATTCAGTTGCAGGCCTTCACAATACTGCCAAGGGCCTTTTTTTCCTCCTCCTTTTTTGTTAAGCATCAGTTCTCAAATACAAGGGTTAATAAAATCATCAGCTAAAGAACTAGTAAATTAAAGAAATGGAAATAAAGCACTCCCTTTCAAATTCGTTGAAGGATCACAATTAAATAAGCAGGGAATTTCTCATCACAGCACACTGTACAGTACAATGTAATATGTCATGTGCAATAAAACAGAAAAAAAAGATTTAAAAGAATAGCGTTGTCCTCATTGCAGGCTGGCTTGGAAAGTGCTCAAATCTCTCTCATTCAGAAGGGAATCTCTGCCTTGCCAAGTATTACATATGTGCATGTAGGTACTGTTATTTTCACAATGTTCTGTAGCTTTTTTTTTTTTTTTTTTTTGAGGGGGAAGTCAAGAATTAGAGTTTATTATTCTGAGTTTAACAGAATTGTCTTGTCTTACTTAAAGTGGTTGAGGCCACAAACTGGGAATTCAGTGTTGACGATGGTGCTAGAACTGCTCCATTCTCAGAGACAGGTTCCCTTCTTTAGAGGGACAGTTGAATTACAAAACAGTGTGGGAGAAGATACAAAATTTAGTTTTGTACTGATGATATTACATCAGTTATCTCATCTCCAAATGAGAATTAATTTGAGGGGGGGTTTTAAATTAGTTTAGTTAAATTGGTAAGACCTACTGACTGGATGTTTCACTTGCAGCTCATTTTGAGTAGGTTTCAAATAAACCAAATATGATTCTAATATTG